TCAGCCAGTGTTCGGTTTGTCTTGTGATACCGACGGAAGCACGCCTGTTTTGAAATTGGTAGCATTATTAAGCACGGGTTGCTGGTCTTCGATTAGAGAGGCAATGGAGTGGCATTTTCTTTCATCAGTGGAGGCCAACTTCCACGCGCGCATGGTACTTGAATTACACAGTACGGTCAAAATATTAATTGTTTGGTTTTCTTATTAGATTGTTTACCTCCAGAGTGGAAAAACTAGTGGGAAATATTTGATGAATATGAAGGCCTGCGTAGTACTGTGATCAGAATATTGACAAGAATGTAATGTAAAATCAGTGCTCTGAAACATGTAATTGCCGAGCTTTTCGGTATTAGTACCTTCTTCAGGACAAGCAGATCAGAACTCGGCAATAATATGTTTCAGAGCACTGCTTTTATATTATATTCTGGAGAATATTTGATGTTGTTTCGGTTCCCCAAGCTTTTGCAATTGCTGGCCAGGAAAAAAAAGCTGCACATAAAAAACAATTATTTCCAAACTCTGGGGGAAACCTTGGTCGTTTTCGCCAAATCCCGATGGAATCGTGGTGCCAATTATTATAAGTCATTCAATTGTTATTTTGAAATTCCTGTTTAAAAACCCGCCATTATCCCCGCCAACATGTGGAACTGGTTTCAACATTTCATAACTCGAGCTCTGTGCTCATTATAAGAACTTTTTGTCAAAGCATCGGGTTGTCTTTCAAACCTTGCTTACAGACATTTATCACAAGTGGAAATGGAGTCATCATAGCTTTTGTCAAAATCAGACGAGCTGCCAAGTTAAACAAACCAGCGTCACACAATGTACCGGCTCGTTTGACTTCGTCACGATGGGTTTTTTGCGAGAGGTATCATTGTCGGCCTTCAAGCAGCCAGTGTCAAGTATTGTTCACAGTTTTAGATCTTGTGCGAGTAGCAGACTTCGCATCACTAGGCAATAATCCTCAAACCATAACGTTAATTTTTGTTGATCGGCAGAATGCGAGTTGTAGTCATGGCTTGCCCAACGGCTGCTGGGGAAGGTGGTGTCGCCGTTTTTCGATCTCTGCAGGAAAAGAATTATATACGGTGTTAGTCATTTCGATATTTTCCTGTCGGTGTTTTGAGCTGCAAACAAGTATACGTGTTATTGGTAGGCATGAGATAGATACGCAAACTGGAGTCCTGTTACTCCGGAGCACTTTTTTTCACATTCTGATGCAATATGACCCTTTGCCTGACCAACATTATTCCTGCGCCCTGATGCAAACAAAATACTCTACTATTGAATTCCATATCTGCCGTCGTGCGTCGCCCGTTGTGTGTCACCCGTCGTGCGTCGTTCGTCACTTGTTTTTAATTTGTTGTCATGCTTGCAAAGGTGAAATTGAGAGGAAAAAAAGGAATGTCTGTATCGGCTGGCAGACTTCTTTCTGGAATTTCATAAAAACAAGTCAGCACATTTTTATAGTATGTAAGAATGAATGTACTGCGGAAAAGTTTGCCTAATCATTTCAGCGGAATAAAATCTCTACAAAACGTTGAATTTTCAGAAAGGCGACGCAGATATGGAATTCCATACTCTCCGGAGTAGTACTGTTTTATCACTATCATCATTGTTGTCTGCGTAAAACCCTTTTTTTACCTCTTTGAAACGACATAGCTACCGTTAACAATGAAATTATTAAAACTTCTTGTCACTTTTATTGTTTTGTGTATTTTTCTAAAGAATGAAAGGTGGGCACATGATATTTGGGCCATAGTTGAATACTTTTAGCTGTCAGGTATAAATGAGAAATGGCTTTGGTTTTTCCTCATTTGCATAACAAAGAACGCTACATTTTGACTTGCTCAGAGTTATCCATATCCTTCCGCATGTCGTGGTATTTCGCCACATTCCTCCGAAGTGCACATGCTCCACACATTCCAAAGATTCTTCATGTTGTTTTGAATATAAATAAAAATACATACATCCTCTGGGAATATGTTAGGAATTTAATCTACTGCAATTGATCCGTAAAATGCCATTTTCGGTACTTTGCTTCTAGAGTATAAAAGTACAACCGTGGAGTCTTCCTCAGTTGTTGTGAACAAGATGAAAACTAACAAACTCAGCGAGGATCTCCACATGAGCATTGTGAATCCTCACAAAGATTGGAAAGGCTATAAAGCCATTTCCAAGCTCTTCAGAGTACCAATTTCCACAGTGAAGTGCATCCTCAAGAAGTACAAGAAGCTCAATGCTGTGAAAAACATTGGCAAGCGTGGACGGAAGCCGAAGGTGTCTCCTCTACTGGACAGGAAAGCTGCCGCGAGGCCCTCTCCAACCCCTGAATAACAACTAAGGCACTTCAGGACAACTTGGATGATATGGCACCAAGGTTTTAACCCTAACCCTCTGCAATCCTCCAAAATCCTTTGGATGGTTTTGGAGGATTTCGGAGGATTGAGGGAGAATCCAATTTTTTCACCCCGAAATCGTTCATGAAGTCGCTGCACAGGGCGACGGTACGGCCTGGTATTTGAAACTTTTGCCATATCCATTTAGAAGGTTGACAAATACGTCTTGACCCTCCAGAACAGCCTTCACGGCCAACATTTGCTGTGGTTTCATTTTCTCAATCAGAATCCCAAGCTTAGGTGCTGCGTATTTGAGGCAGACATCAACACACAAACGGCTGATAAGACTTATAAAATCGGCAAGCGCTAGTTGATGCTTTTGGGTGAGAGCTCTGAAGCAGAGCGATTTGACTCTGAACAAAGGCAAAGGCAGTAGAGCACGGTGATCACTGGTATGTTGAAAACAAGGAAAATGCAGGGCAATAACAACGGTGGGTATTGGCGTTTCGGTTGGCGGGCTACATTCCTGCATATATTTAATACTGCGCAGGATTACAAATTACAATGCTGTGTTCATTTAAATATTCAGGAGCGTAGAAGAAAAGAAAAGGATGCCCGTGAGAGTATAAAGGAACCACTGGCACCGTTGGCCTACCTGCCACACTCAACAATAAACAGAACAAATGAATTAAATGGAGAAGAGAACTAATCAGGTGACTCAGACTAGTCGACTGGCCATACGTATTCAAGCATCCTTCACCCTGAGCGGGTTTTCTTTATTTTTTTCGTTTTTACATTTAGCAAGCCTGTAGCATACTCAAATATGCACGCCCGTCTAGTGCTAAGGTCGAGGCCTACTCTTTGCAGATTAATATACGGATTTTCAAGCCAGAAAATTTGGATGGAGACTTACAAACAGCAGTCCTGCTTGGATGGGTGATTATTACACTGGACGCTTTAGATTCGAGAAAGGTTGTCAAAAAGGGATTCCAGTATAGCGATAAATACATATAGGTACAACCACAGGAAAGAGTAGGCCCTTTTGGTGGCGTTATGTACCGAATCGCTGTGTACAACTCAGGATGAACGAGTTCCAAACCGTGAAAGACACTGATAGATGTTTGGGTTAATTTTTTTTTTGTAGAACTTGGCCTCAATTCTGCTGCCTTCAGGTGATCAAGGTGAGTGTTAGTAGTGTATGAGAACTCTCTGAAGATGTACATGTGTATGCAACTCTGGCTCTCACCAGAGTTGTTTATGGAGCTTATGTGTAAGTAGCGCCACCAAGCGACCCTTAACCCCCTCATTTACCTCTGCTAGCTCCCTGGTCCTCACATTCTTTTTATTCTTGCTTTGATTTGAAAGGAGTCTTCTCTCTTCATGTGACAGCTGATCATTTTAAAGGATTTTTCCGAATCTGCTTACACCAAAGGTTACTGTGAAGTTGTAAACCGCACATCGCAGGCTTCCAAGTATCGTTCATATGGCTTGTTTTTCTGACATACAAATACATTTCGCTCTGATATCCCGGTAACTTTGCACCATTGCGTAAATCTAAAAGTCTGTTGTGTTTTTTCTTGTTTATTGCTTGCCACAGATTGTCAACCACTGCTCAGTAAAATCAGAAGCAATGGCTTAGTGAAAAGGCTGGCCAACATATCCAACTGGTGGCTAACTGCAGCTGGGAAAGACCTTTAATGATCCTAAGATGTTAACATGTCCACACAGCTGAAACTTTCACAGGTGACCACACTTTTATTCCATGCCCACATAAATTGATTTTACAATTACTTGTAACCATCAGCTGATGGATTTGTTCACTGGAACCGCAAAGAAGACTTTATACTTCATGAGGTATAAGTGAAATAGGTGGTCCTATTCCTAGACGAATATTAAGAATTACGTCTAGTAAGATGAAACTCTGCTGAACCATTGGCTAACCGACACTATCTCAAGGGGTGCTTGATCTCGAAATCATCAAGCCTAACTCTGTGTAAAGAGGTCAAAGTTTTTCGTGATAGGAAAAAACGTGAAATAAATGAAGTCCTAAATGTAAATGTAGTGTGCTCTCGATAAGAGAACGCAATCAAGAGCTATGTACTTTAAAGTCCAACATGTCATATCTATTTTATGCCTATTTCCGGCGTCTATTGTTACATTTCTGATGTCTCAAACTGACACCTATAGAAAACTCATGTGGTGTGTTACGTACCAATAACGTAAAATTCGAAAATTGAACCCAACAGTGAGCCTTTTTTACTAGAGAATTTGCATCTTTGCATACATTATAAAACAAGCTCTAAATGAAACGAGGGTATTATAGCCCAACTTTTCCATACATCACAGTAGATGCCTATAGTCATGTTTTAATCTGCGTCCAAAACTGTTCATTTGCATTGCCTATTCAAAGGCAAGTGGCCACTCAATCTATTCTTCGATATAAGAAAGGGTAAGCTGTTTCCCCCAAAAACATCGACTGCCCCCCGTGACATTTTTTTAAGTGTGAGCGACACAACATAATTATATGGGGGCGCCTTTCATTTTATGTCGTGCAGGACAAGAGGCCCACAATGATCAAACCATGCGGTAATACGTCAGTATAGGTTTATGTGACGTCACCCGTATAAGCCGAAAACCAACAACATACACGAAGCCCCTGGAGCTATTATTATATAGATCCATGCACTGTGAAGCCGCCTCAACAGATCAATCAGCTCGCCAAACATTTCAGTTGGGAAAGTGACGCACCTTACGGTTTCTAGAGATAATGGGTATCATTCTGGGCATAGAGGCAATTGTCGGTATAATAGAGGGCGCGGAGGCAGCAGCGGCTGCCGCAGAAGCCGGCGAAGCAGTTGCTGGAGCCGCTGAGGCAGGGGAAGCAATCAGTGCTGGCGCCGAGGCAGGCGCTGAAGCCGGGACTGAAGCCGGAACCGAGGCGGGCGAAGCGGTAGCCTCGGGCGGCGAAGCCTTGTCTCAGATCTTGGCAAAGATCAGTGTTGCAATGGAGAAGATAAGCAAACTGGTGGCTGAGTATGAGGCCATCAATGCTGTCTTCAAGGCAGCGGATGCGATCTTGAAAGACATCACCTCAAATCCCGCGGCTAGGGCTCTGGCCAAGAAGCTGGCTAATCTTATCGGCGTTCTGGTCACTTGCTCAAGCCTCATGCAGGATCTGTACAGCTGGTTGAAAGAGAATGCTAACGACACCACCACTCTGCAGGGATTTCAAGTTCCCTTGAGTGGCATACTGTCCACGTTCCTGCCGAGCCTGGGAGCGGTGCGTAAATACCTAAGTTTTTTTTAACTTTTCACGCAATATATAGCCATTTCAATTTTAGTCGCCGTGTCTATAATCAGCACCTCAGTCTTTCACACATTATATGCCAAATCCACTTTGCTGTGACAAATTCTGCTGCAGGTAGAACTGACTAGGTTATTGGAGAATTTAGTCTTGCTTACATATTTTGCCAAGAATTACTTTGACAATATTCAATATAGGCAGGTATAAGAGTGCATTAGAATCAAGGGCATCGCGGTAGTGATGGAGGGTTCAGACCGCCTGGCATTTTCACTCCACTGATAATGTCCCCAAAGCCTTTTCTCTAAAATCTTCTGAGCTTGGCATGTCAACTTGCCCGCCATTACATGGGATTTCGAAGTAACATATTGATTTTTTTCAATGAACTGAAATCAAGGTGTCGCCGAATATTTCATTTGAAAATTTCAAATGTAGGTGAATGAAATTTTCTGGAGAGTCCTTTAGAATAATGCAGATATTATTTCCCCTTTGAATGTGACTATACAGGCATCTGGAGTCCTCCAGTCTCTTTCGAAACAAGTGGCAGCGGAGAACCTGCGAAAAGATCCTGTCACATCCGGCGAGGTTGAAGCCATACAGAAGGGTCTGGACACCGTGGCTCAGAGTTTCCAGTCGCTCGTTACATTCAAGGACCAAAAGGCTTCCACGGTGAAAGCGCTGGCAAGCATGCCGATCGATAACACCCAAGTAGCCGCAATTACCAATCAGCTGGCGGCAGCGTAGGCCATTGTAGCCTGGGTCCAATTCCTTGGAGCTAGCTGCGTAGGGCCAAACAGTGCTGAGCAAGAATCAGCTGGTATGGGAACCACTGAAAACAAAACCATTACACATGCAATTGTGGCAGGTAACCAATTTTTGAAGAGCAAAACTGTATTGCATGTGCTCAGCAAAGGTTTAGTCCCAGTAGTTCTGCTGAATTGGCCTCATTGGTTTGGTTATTGCTGAGAAAAGCAGATTTAGCTATTTTGCTGAAATTACTTTACTAGAGCTTATTCTTTAATACGCTGTTTCTTTTGAATTTTTCAGTTAAACAATGATTACGCATTAATAGAAGCGCAACTGAGCATTGTTATAATTTACAGTTAATTTCTCCGTCTCTAAATTGTTCCACTATATAGAGTGAATGCATAAACCCATGGGCTTTTTCATTTTCATGAGCCAAACAAAACTGTCAGACACACAACGTTGTTTGGCCTCTGACAAATCAGATATTTCCACTTTCCTGGAGAGAGTTTCATGCTTTTCATGCATATACTATTAGCTAACATTCATTGAAAAAATAAGTTTGTTTTGCACGATGATGACTTCACGGTTGCCAGTAAAATTGCAGCACGCGTAGAATGTGTGATTTCTTGTCGCATCTCCTTTAATATATAGCATTGTCAAACGTACGTATTTTTCGGGTGCGTATACAAAACGATTTTGACCCAATCACTGAATGGGTGTTTTTTTTTTCTTTCTTTCTTTTCGGACATTTCAAAACAATGAAGGGTTCGTTTTTCCTTTGTTTCTGTACACGATCTCAAAACAGTATAGTTGTTCGAATGTACATGGACTCTGCACTGTCGTTAATTGATAAGATGTACAGATGAGGGCGTGCCGGAAAACCTGCCATTGACCCCATACTCGATGTTGAAGATTTTACTTCTACGGAGTATGCATGTCCCTGTCTCATGTTTTCTGGATTTAGGTTGAATAGAAAGTAGGTTTGCGGTAGCACCATGGACGTATCTCTTTTGTGAGTATTTGCGGTTCTGAAAAGAACCAGTGGTACTCTAGGTGGTACATTTAGGTTGGTTTTCGTCCACTAGACCCACACATATCGGTTACTACATAAAACAGTGATACGTACAGAAACTTAATTCCAGTGCAAAGAGAATACTTCTTATAAAAACAGCATATGAAAAAAAATTAAGTCGATCATGACAGAAGACCCACAATAGCGGCAAAGGAGTACTTGGTCAAGGTCAAAACCCGGGTATAGGCCTACGTTCTCTTCTCCAGAAAAAATCTTGGTGTTGAGATATCTCTTTCTGTGATTATTTTCATAAGGCTATGATTTTCAGAGTCTGGGACTTATTAAAAATCATTGGATTTCCAAAAAGTACTGATTAGCAAAAGGTGACCCTGCACAGGAGCTCTGCACAGGATTTCAATTTGAAACAAACGCACCCACATGATGGTTTTATCAATGTCACGCATATTCGGATTTTTTAACATCCACTTTTCGAAAAACACCACTGTTGTTATTCAGGAGAACTTGAAAAGAACTTTCAGCTCGAGGTACAGTTTAGAAAGTGACTGACTTATTATAAACCTTTGGAGTCCCACAAAGCACTGACAAAAGAAAGTAAAACTTGCGAATATCTGGGTGTTTAGGTTACTTAGATCCTTTCTACTAAAAAATGTAATACTTGACGCAGGTGCACAGGTTTGACAGTGATTATTAATGACCCTGATAACATAAACATGTGAAGCCATTTTGCACTTTCACGCAGTGAATGTGGTTGGCTATATTACTGCCAGCATTGTATTAATCGTCCAGTAATAATCTTGTTGGCCACTGTGAGTAACCGCTGAAGCCCACTGGTCATCCGTCCGGTACTTTGCCAAGTTTGATCAGCAAGCCAACCGATATGATGAGTGCAGAGGCCTGACAGACACGCATCGTCTTCTAGTATAGCGGGCTTCCATGCACCGAGACTGAGTTTCGCCGCTGGGGTGCCGTGATTTGAAAAGTTTTAGACTTATAACAGACGTTGGAGTTCTAAAAGTACGGGTTGACAAAAGACCCAGACGAAACCCCACAGATTTCAATCAAAAGCCGACTGTGTAAACACAAAAACCCGCTTGATTAAAGATCCAGGTTTCTACAGCCTTTAGAAAAAAATAGGCTGTATTGTTGCCGCATTAATCCCTCCTTATGAAGAAAGAACGTGTACAATGACGTTTGACGCAGGTGTAAAGTTCAGAACTTGCGCTTTGACATGAATGTTATAACTCTGAATACTTGAAGCTCATTTTCACGAAGCAGTTTTTTCCTTTTATTTTTACTTCCCACTCAAGGATTGTCTTGGTTTTTATCCTTTTGTGCACAGAAATAATTTTTCAAATCGCATCAATCGTAACTACACATCCTGGGGAGAAACAGTGCACAAAATAATTAAATCTCTTCTATTCTTGATCAAAACTTTAATAGACCTCTAATGTTTCCTTACTTTGGCGTCAACAGTAACTGTCAGCCAGTAATAGAATATTGACACATTTCACAAGTAAAATGTCAGAATTCGAAAGTACTTCCTTAAAATCGTGTTGAATAGGACATCCCAATGGGAACTAACAGAGGTGCATGGTGGTGTTATACAAACACCTCATTTAATCAATTCTGAAGAATTGCCAAAAAGAATGTTTGAAACTGTTGATAAATTCAGTATCATCAGCTGACCATTTGCTGACTGCTGGAAGCCACTGGTCAGTCGGTCCTTTGCCGATTTTGGCCCATCGGCTAACCCATGAGTACGGATGCCATCCATCTTTTTCTAGAAAAATACACTAAAGGTACATGAAGCAATTTTTCACTTCTGTGCTGTGGGTTGTGTTACGGCCGATAATTGTCCGGTCACCTGCTGACCACTATGGCTAATACCGCTGAAATCCCACTGGTCATCCGTCCAATGTCAGGAGAGACACGCATCGTCTTCCAATAGCAGGCTGCCACTGTGACTAAGTTTTGCTGCTGTATAGGAAAGTCGTGGACTTAAAATAGAATATACGGTTGGAGTTCTAAAATGAACGGATTGACATAAAGACCCAGACGAACCCCCACAGATTTCAATTGAAAGCCGACAGTGTAAACACAAAAACCGCTTGATTAATATCATGCGTATCCAGGTTCCTACACGCTGTACGTAGATAAAATCCACTGTACTTTTAGTGTCATCGTCAGCAAAGTATATAAGAGAAACGAGAATTTTGACATATCGCACGTATCAGATCTTGAAATGTAAAAATAATGACTGAAAATAGGTGCTGAATCTAAGATCCCAATGGGTCCATATACGTGTATTGCCGTGTTATGGCGTTAAATGCCGCAATTTGTTGACAGAGTGAAAAAGTACAGCTGAAAGCAGACTAGCCAGTCGTTATTATGCTGATAGCGGTCCACCAGCTAACCCACGAAGACGGACGCCAGCTGGACGCGAGCTCTTTCATTACACACCATTCTTGGGAAACATGCATGTACTTTCCTGTGGGAAAGTGGTTTTTCTGCCAGTCTTGAATTATTATAATTTGCACTCTTGTCGGGCTACCTCAACGTTTTATGTTAAAAAAAAATACCGGCTGCACATCTCCGAGCCTGGATGGAAATCATGTAAGGTCCTGAAAAAAGTGAACACGTTAAAATTACTTTATAGGATAGCTTTATGCTTAACTAGTTTAAGGTTCAACCCCTGGACTAAGGGTATACAACTTTGAATCAAGAAGCAGATTACTAGTCACGCAGCAAACTAAGCACGTAAAACCTGTGGGTTCTATGTCACGTGCTAGGTTGGGTGTACCCACCCCTCTTGTCAGGCCGAGTGGCGAATCAAGCTCAGTCCACCGCGTGCGTGCAGAGTAGAAGCGACAGGCAGGCAACCTCCACACACCCCAGCTAGCTGAGGACAGACGCAGGCGTGTTCTCGGTAAGTTTCATGTTGCTCAAATAATGCTATCAGTACATTAATAAAGTATGCTAAAGCTCATCCGATGCAGGTCATACCGGTTGGCTCGTGCCTTCGCCTTGCGCCTTCATCTCCAAAGAGCCAGTTTTTCAGTTTGGGGGTGAGATAAGGCAGGTGGAGGTGTGCGGCCGACCCGTAGTTCAAGTAACTCGAACTCTACACTTCTTGCCTTTTTGACATTCTACCATTTGGTGATAGTACGGTACAAGGAACGGCCCAACAAACACACCATTCTCTCTCAACCGAGGATTCAGTGGGTATTGAATATTTAATGCTTGTGCTCAGGTTTACTTAAGGTTGGGAAGAAAAAATGTTCCCTTAGTCCGTATAACCTCCCGTTTTGCGGGAAGTCAGCATCCTGGGTTGTTGTAGCGATGCAAACTGAATATCAGTAACGTATCGACGTGCGGCTGTGCAGCCTATAGCGCAGTAAAAGCCTCGTTTCTCAAGTATGCCGACGACAGCTTCTTGTTAAACTTCACAAAGGGACGGTAGCGTGACTTATGTTCAGAAATCCGACTGCAGCCGTTTTATTGCTTATTATTTTCAGAATATGCTGAAACATGACTTTCATAGGCGGTCTTTTAACAGCTTACTGTTTGACTATTCTTTTAATGAGCTCGTGAATTGTTACGAATGATGTGTCAATTTCAAACCGGAAAATAAAATCTTTTTATATGTTTTTGAAGATGAGTTATTTAGGTGATCAATATTAGCTTTTGGCAGGTACGATTTATGTACATGTGGTTGTTTTTTTCCAAGGATTAAAACATCTTTACTATAGATGCTATAAATTAAATACTGGCCATCTCATTTTGGATTTTTCCCAGTACAGGGACTGCAAAATCATTTTAAACTTTTCTCATTTACAAATGAGTCATGCAAAAATTACTTTTGAGAGCCAAAACAATAAGTAATTTGTCTCAATTAATGGAAAAATGTTTACTTGTTAAAAAAACGCTGTGCAATGCTGCCTTACTTTCAAGGGCTTTAGGCGGAAAAAATTGCAGCCGGGATTTTGTGCACCTTCAAATCGTGGTCATATTTCTTTCTTGTGATTCAGTTGTCGAATTCATGTGAAACTACAAGTAATAGATTTGATGTTTCATGTTCAATAACACAAATTATGAACAATGCCCTCAACATCACTATTTCTACCAATTGTACCACCTTTTCGTATCCATAATTAAGTCAAAGCCCGGTATCTTCGCAACGTGACTAAATTTATGAAAGATCCATCTCACCCTTTGTTTAATAATTAATAGATCCTGAATGCGCCTGTGCGTTCCCCACAGCAACAAAGCTCGCTGCAGACATTTTTTCTACCGGATTTAACTCACCTCTTTTACAGTAAAGTTACTAGATAAACCTTGTCGCATAGTATGTGTGTAAATAATTAGTTTTTTTTATACTGTTAAGCCATTTTCACAATGTGATAATTAATTACCAAACTATGTATTGTTTCGGTTTTATTTATGTTACAAATTGTGTTCAAATTCGGTTTATGTTAATACGTTATATTTGATATTGTTGGAAAATATTGTGGCCTCGGTGTACTTAAAAATCAAGTTTGACACGAATCTCCGAATACGGAATAAAGTTATCAACAATCAAATTTGAAAAACAAAGAAGCCATAACCTTAATACTATGAAAAGCATTTCAAGCATTTTCGCTGTATGTGAGATTTTGGGTAAGGCATAGCACAGCTTAAAAGCTATTTTGTTTCTGTGCAGTGTCTTTAAACAGGTAGCTTGATTGCTCGTCACTATGATTTGAATGCAAGGTACTTCTTTCTTTTTCATGTCAATTAGCCTGTCAACCTCAATTCAAACAAACATGGGATGGAAGGAAAAAAAATCAGCCTGGACCCGTTTGTTGAATTAAATGGATTTGTACAAACATCCACCTCCATTCTGTGTATTAGCAATCAAAGTTACAGAAAGTTCAGTCTTGGTTGGCAACTATCATTTCCCCAAAATGTTCATTTTGCGACATTCATTTCAAAAATCAGTGTTACATAACTGCATGAGATTCTATTGACAATTTTTTTGTGAATTGTTCTCTTTATCAAATACTCACGGCAATCACATCTTCACAAACCATGAGGTTGGCAAAGGTCTGTTTTGGTGTGTCATTGCTATTTATTGGTGAGCTTGTGTTGCGTCGTAGATATACAGGTTATTATCTTTGCCTGCAGATTCTCCACTTCAGTATCATAAGTAGTACCTGCTGACAATGGCGGAAGAGGTGATCGACGTCATTACGGACGCTGAGGAGGCCATCGACGATGAAGCGGCATCGGCTGAGGACGCCGGCCTGGACGAGGAAGAGCTCGAAAATGTTGAAAAGGAAGTGGCAGAAGTCAAGGAGAGCGTCTCCGCACTTGGCAAGGTGGCCGATTACCTGAAAAATCTAGATGTTCCCCTGACTCTCCAGAAATTCACCCAGTTCGTGATAAAGAACGCTGCGGTGGGAGCGATCTTATACGGAGTCAACGTCGCCCTGACCAAGTTGAAGGCAAAGTTAAGCAGCGGGAGCAGCAGCACTGCCAGCCAGGCAGCCAAGGCACAGTACAACAAGATCAACGCCTTGAGCAGCCTCATCAACGAGTTGACGCAGACCTCACAGACTGTGACAACTTGGCTGCAAAGCCACCAGAATGACACCATCAATCTGGATGGTTTTACCGTACCCCTGATTGACATCTTCACCAAGTACACCACAGCGATGGGACAGGTGAGTCCGTTCGAGGGATTTCGGTTCCCAAAACTCAAAGCTAAGGATGATTGCAGAAACTATGCATTTTATATTACGTGAATTGTTTAAAGCATTTTCATTTACTGGTCAGTATTTATGAATTGCATTATTTTGTATACCTGTACGAATTGTCTCATTGTCAGTTTTTGTATGATGACATGTCGTCATCTAAAATTCACAGAAAATTGTAGACATTATGTGATCAAAGTTTCTGAAGAAAAAACTGAATAAAGACAGAAAACCTGACATAAAATGATCAAAATCGCACCCCTGTACGTTTTCAATGGCCTGCTCACACTTCTTGCCGCCAAGGCCATTTGTACGCATGCGTGCATAATTATGAATTTATTAGTGAAAAGGTCTATTGCAACGTTACAAAAACACACGCATAAGCTAAGGTTCAGGCGAGATAAATACTTTTGGTCTGACTTATTGTGAGCAGTAATTAAATGCAAACCATGAAGTGAGGTCATGATAACGTCATTGATCGATTTCTGAATATTTTAAAGATTGTTCCTTCTAAATTCTTATTTCGGCATTGCCTTTTATTGCATAGCCTCCTATCTCTGGACATAGTAAAGAGAGTGTTAGGTAATGTTTTCCACACCGTGACGTCAACTTCCTCATCGTGAGCCATCACATCAGCTCTACTTAGTGAAGATTGAATGGCCAATATCTCTAAACTAAACACTGTTGAGGTTTCGGTTGTTCTTAGTAATGTTGAATGAGTGAATACAGTGAAATCAGGATAACGTCATCATGTGAATCTTAAAAACAATGGAGTAATTAAAAATTACTGAATTCTTTACAAACTATGTACTTAACAAAAATAATTACGTTTGGCTGAAATTGGATCTACATAACCTTGCTTGAAGTGGGCATGAGCAGAATATTTCTGCAACACGTGTTGCAATAGAAAAGAAAGGAAATATTATTAATATAGGCCTATTAAAGATGTGAAATAATTTTGGAGGAGTCACGATGATATTTATTGGTGTTTTTGACAGGCCGTGGATAATGCGTACGCCGTTGCCAAGACCCTCATAGTCGTGCAAGGCGGTAAGAAAACGTTCTCCATCCCAACCACGGCCCAAGTCAGCACAATCATCACCGCCTCACAGTCGTTCATCACTGCCTTCAGTGGGATGGTAACCTTTGCCGGTCAGAAAAAGGCCCAGTTTCCAGCCCTCAGTTCGTTCCCCGTATCGCAGAGCAGTGTTGATGACCTCCAGGCCAAGTTGACCGCCCTCGAAACGCTTCCATATGCGTGAACATGACAGTGACTTTACTGACGTGGCAGTCTTGAACGAAACATGATTATGAAATTTACTTGACATCGATAACGGATAATAGCAAGAGCGAGATTTGAACCTGAGCCCTCCTAATTACTATACTGTTGCTCTACTAGGCAATTGTGCCCTATGTTGATCTATGACTCTTTTAACTTTTTCAGAAAAATTATCAGTCATGAAACAAAGTACTTTGTTTAATCAATAATTTTGAAATAAAGACCCCGAGAAAACTGCGTGTGTCATCAAATATGACAAGTTAATTTGGTTGTTAGAGCGTAGGTGTGGTAACTAAGATGTCACAGGTTCAAAAACAAATTCCTTTAAAGACCAATTTCTCTGCTTATAAGTAGTCAGATATTGTAGTTCCTAAATAAAGAAACTTAAAATCTAACTTTGGGCTTCCAACTTGTTATAGTAATATTAGTTTTTATGTAAAGTAAAAAAGTAGGACGTGTAAGACTGGCATTTGCGATCAGTCAAAATAGGTGGCAGAACACAAAAGAATTGGTAGAAAAAAAGGTGAATGATTCATAAAGGTAGGCTTCCTGTCCTGTGCGTTATATTTAGATCTAAGATAGCATGGGGTATATCAAACTGATTTAAAACAACTTTACAATTTACAAACTTCGGTACAAAAAGACGATTTCAACTCGATTTGTAATTACCTTGTTAATTTGAGGAAGGTGGCCTCGGCTTGGGGAAACTGTAGTTGCGTGAAGCCGGAGGGGAGGCTCGTCCTGACGTTTCGCGATTTTTCGTCCACTTTAGAAGCGTCGACATTTTACAAAGAGCACGTTTGCTTACTCGTATATTTTTCAGACATTTTCCAACGCGAACATTTCGATCCAAAATCAGGATACGCACCGCAGCGTGAGTGAACGTAGTCAGTGCGTGTATAGGTAGTCACAAAATGGACCTTTCAATGAAAATTTTGGTAAATAAGACAGGCGCATGCGCGCTACTATCACTGGTTGCTTAAATTAATGACGTAAGAATACAAACCTCCATGCGCGCAACTATTGGCACATCCGAGCCATTATATTTTTTTCTTCAGATGCAGAATGGCACCCTCTCACGGCCGCATTCAATACGCCCATCCGGGTAATTTGCATTTTTCATAATTATACCAACATAACTATAAGATAACTAGAATCTTATGTGAATTACTATCTGATTATTAGTAGTGCTATGGTGTTTGGCGTATATTTAGCACCATTCTAAAAAAAAACACCAAAAAACAAAAAAAAAAAAAAACAAAAAAAGGACTCCGATAGACCTGACAGGCGTATAGCTAGTTTTAGAGCAGTTTCGGAGCAACATTATTCTTTCAACTTTTGTTTCTTGTTTGTTTTATTTTGCTTTTTTTGGTGTAGTAAAGATTGACTTAAAACGCCAAGGCTTTGAATTTAGGTGTCTAAATAAATAGTTTTGTTCTGGGTTTCGCATTGTATACAAACCTCTTTTGTTATCATATATACTTCGGTAGCCTAAAAAAACAACGGTTCGCAGAAACGGAATTGTTACCTATCACCTATCGATATAACAGCGTTTTTGTCCATTTTAATTTGATTCCGTATTTCACAGTGTGACATTAATATATCTGAAAAATAATCTGGCAGTTTTGATCTGTTTACCTCTCTGTGGTAATATATCTTACATAAATTTCTTTTTTCATTTTTAGTTAGTAACAAGTACAATATAGTCCCTTTTAATCACTGTTTGTATAATAAATTAGAGTAGCTCGTCGGTGCAAAGCAGTTTAATGAAATTCCCGAATGCCTTATTCTTCTTCTGAGTTTGACGAATTGTACGAAAATTTGCACGAAGCCTCTGCAGGAAAATGTATGAATTTATAATGTATTACACACAAATATAATCCTGGGCGTTGTGATGGCCATAGAAGGTGCTGACTTCACTAACGGTAAACAGCGAAACGCCCACGGACTGTGCAGAATGAGTGTGGGTCACTAGTAACAGGAAGAAATTCGAGTGCGTTCCCGCTCACCTCTAAGGAACATATTCCCCAATTTCTGCCACTACCTTTCACTGCCCACGGGTTCCCGGCCCACCACATTTCCTCCCTGCCCATCCGTTTAACCCAAGAAGGGTCGAATGGCCATGCAAGGGAGGAAACGAGGCGAGTCGGCCATACGTCTCGAACCTGTACTAAGGTTGTTGTTTTGTTTAAATGGCGCTTTCAGCATCTCAGGCTATTTGCGCCAAAAACTGTACGTTTATTCATACACTTTATTAATCGGCATCACATTACGGAGTTAGGAAGAAGATCCAGTTTTAGAGGCAGCAGGAAACCGGAGTACCCGGAGAAAACCTGCGAGAGCGGGTATGAACTGGAAACCAAACCTGTACTAAGGTGCTCAGCAGAAGAGCTTATACCCGGTTGGTTAAGGTACTGTTGGTAGTTGACGGGGGTAAATTAGAGTCTCTTATAGCTACTGACTGAGAGCAAGCTTTGGGAAAATAAAAAGCAAACGCCAGGATTCGGACCCACCATCTAACGATTAGATAGCCGCGAGCTTAACCATTGGGCAGTTTCAGAGAATTGCTTTTTCTCGTTCATAGGCCTATTAATGCAGATAACAAAACCATTAACCTGACTGCACAGAATTTTGCTCTGTAAAGAGTGATTAAAACGCTACCATAAGCAGAGTTTTCAATGCCAGCTTATTTGTTTTTTTTTTAAAGTGATATAAAATCCTGTGATAGGTGATAAGTATAGAATGAGTTCTGCGTGATGTGTTCAAGATATGATCACGGTATGGAGAGTTAGGTAATTATAATTAGCATAAAATAGCTTTCTGAGCGCGGTATACTCAGAGACGTGATCAGCAGTCCACACATCATAGATCAAATGATGTTCTACAGTCCTCTCCACAATTGTTGGGGCAAACATCAATAAACATAAATACCCTCCAAGGTTCCCCAATGCCCCGGTTAATGTTGTCATCTCGAGCTGGACCGCAAGCCGCACATTGAGACCCAACATGGAGAGGGGGCCCGAGGTCGGGGCCCAACGAGATTTGGCCAGGATTGTAGTTCTTCAGCAATATAGGGTTGATTGGAATGTGCAATCTGTGAACAGAACACAGGCTGGTTCCCGAATGGCCACAAATTGTCCTGGCCAAACTTAAATTTACAAACAGTCCATTTCAGATGAACTCACCAACAGTCTATGCAAGGCAAACACAGGAGTAAATAGGAACTTTCTGGGGATAGAGATGAGCAGAAGTTCTTCAAGGACCAGCCAAATGCAGTCAAAGGACGTCATGCTGCTCCGTCCCGAAGTTGCCGAGATTAATCCTCTTGGCAAACTCCAGCACCAGACAAAAGCAAATCTCCAGTGCTAGAGTCCAGCTGACCAGCCACAGAGGTGTAAGCAACATGCCGGTTTGCTGACATCAGTTCTGCAGTGGACTTAGTTGCAAGGCTGTCCTCATACACCAACGAGCACATCCTGATTGTGATGGCCGGCTAAGGAATGTCGGGATTTGTACAACACAGAATTTCTGCCTCTGATGGAAGGAGGCTCTTATCAGCAATGGACACAACTATCCCTTCAAGAAATGCCCTGCAATATATACCAACAAATATCGTGAACAGTGAAATTGGCACCAAAAAAATAAGCAGACATGTGCAACAAGGTCAAGAGCAATCGTAAAAATATTCGTGAACTTCAGGCTTACAGGAAAGACACCAGTTGCAGTGGCGACTGACAAAGTCAAGCATACTTTTGGTGGCTAAAATCTAATCTTTTTGCCAAGGCAACCGTGGAAATTGTCCACTTCATTAGGCTGCACCAAGTTTTAGTTCAGTCATTGTGTTGTTTTAACTTTTCACGCGAGACATGCTGCCCGCCCTCTATATCCTCGATTTTATCACAAGTTAAAATGAAATTTCCACAAACAGACAATTAGGATTTACTTGTTTTTATCTACTAAATGCCGTATCTGTTTTCCATCTCTATGATGTACAAATAAAATAGCCAGGAAGAAAACAAATTGAGAGCAAGCAGAAACTCTGGTGAATGACTCAAAGTTTACGAGAATGTTTGATGGTTCACACTCACCGGTAAATGTTTACTCCATGCACAGTGCTTGTTGTTTTCTGATCTTTTTCCAATACAAACTTGGAATTCAAAAGTACAGAGTACCAATTATTTTGTTTTCAGATGTATTTTGCCTTAATTTGAACTTCATTTACAGAGAAAGCAGTAAAATTCACCTTCATCTTATCAAAACAACATGGCTGCCACCATTTACTGGATCTATATAGGGTGCACCCCTAAAAATAAATTCCTATAGACACCAAAGATGAATCCTTATATTTCAAATTTATTTTAAAAATACTCAAAACTCTCATAGGTGTCGAGGCTCGACAGAAAAATGATGTTAAACCTCTGCTTTTTCATTTTCCTTTCAATTTTCAGTGGGTTGACCGATGAGTCTTTGAGAAGTTTTTACCCAAAGCAGACCACCCCTAAAACAAAGGAAATTTCACTGCCATTTTGAAATGCATCCCTCTGCAAAACGGCTAAATAGTACCACTTTCGGCCCGACTGCATCCAAATTACTTAGAATTGAAAGCCCTCGGTCTGGGCCAGAGGCTCAGTGCCATATTTCTTCAATTTCCCAATTCCATAGCTCTCAGGACTCCCTAATATTTTGAGTACCAACTTTTTTAATGAGCTCGGGGACAGACTTCTGGCCTATTTGCCGGGGTGCACCCTTAGAGATTTCCATTGTCACGTCACTAAGTTAAGCACATTTTTTCTCCGAGGTAAGTGTGCCTCCTGCTGTGTTTACTGCTTGTGAGGTGACTGTGTTAGCTTACCGTAATATCTTGTGCTTAGCAGTTGGGGCCCATACAACAGGTCATGCCATACAAAATCTCGTCGTACGGATCAAGCTTCATAGTCCGCGTTTATTCCCATATCCCTGCCTTGGTACTAGTGACGTAGCCAGCAGTGGCAGGGGGCAACTTGTCCCCCTGACGGTTTTTTTTATACTAAGATTCATTAATACTTCCTTGGTGGGCGGGAAAGAAAGCGAAAAACCCTAAGACAACACCACCGTGACATGAAAGCAAGGAGGCCGGGACCGTGCATTCGTCGGCACTGGGATATTTTTTTCCTCCCCGAATTGCCGAACAAAATGTTGGCAGAGCCCGAAGCCGCACTCGCTTTTGAATTTGCCCCCCCCCCGATGCTGGATACGCCGCTGCTTTATACTTTAACATTAAGTTTCCAGAAACCTATGTAATCACGTAGGCCTACACTTACAAACAAATAGGCGAAGAGTATCACCAAAAAATATCCTGAATAAAAAAATTACATTGCAAACGATTCAGCTACCTCGGAGAAAATTTTGACATAATTATTATAAAAGATAAGGAACACACCTTTTTTGTTTTCGGAAACGTTTTCAAATATAATGATAAAGGACAATTATTCAAGCTTGTAAGGGTCACGAAAAAGAATGGGCATTCATGCTGTACGTTTTTCCCATCAAGGCTAGTACTCCAAGTAAACAAGTTTTCCTTAAAACTAGTGCCAATTCCCAGGACAGAGAAAAATATCGACAAAAATTTGGACCCTATTGTGGATGGGCTTTTCGGACAGTTGGTCAAAAAGTTTCTGCTCGGCCACCGCAAGTCCATCACAAGTCATTCAATCTTACACCAATTCACCAGCTATTCAAATGAGCTGTGATAAAAGCATCCTTTTGTCATTATTCAGCCTGTAACTTAAGATTGGCGGCGTAATTGTTTTCCTAGGAAGGTTAGGGGTAATTGTAATAAAATAGACGTATCTTAACCGTTGTGCATGCGTTTTTAATCCAGGAAGATTTGGGGCAATTATCATAAATGGGGTTAGCGTTTAAGTATAAGACACAACAAAATTGCCTGTCTGGCCGACTTGCATGGTGGCTGTTAGAAGAGCGTTATATTGAGGGTTCAAGTCTGTATGTAGTAATTTTCTTTCTTGATGGGGAATTAGTTGGTTTGAGGGTATTTCTATAACAAGAAAGTAAAGCCCAACGTTTACATTAGCATTTAAGTTCCTAATGTCCACTAACCCGATAGAGCTTGCAGTTAACCTCGCCCGTACATAATAATTACCCCTAGCTTTCGTAGGAAAAAATTACGTTGACTGGCCTTATGAAGAGACTTGTGACTGAACTGGTGGAGGGACTTGTGAAAGGATTTGTGATGGACTCGAATACTGCACTGGGGCGTGTTTTGGCGACCCCAAACCAGACGTCAAAGCAATAACCAGGAACAAATTAAGACTGCCACACAAAAACAAGACCAAGAAAGAGTTAATGTCATCTGACAGAGAGCGCATCGAAGCAGACGACACAGTTGATGAATATTATTTTCATTCAATAATCGGCATGTTTCTCTCCAGTGCTGAATTGTCTTTTTACGAATGTTCTAGAAAATTGATTCGCTTTGATTCGCTGCATGTAAAAACTAATTCCGAAAAGTATACTTCCACATCTGAGGGACGAAAAAATTGTTCATATTCCACCATTTGGAACCTGCGCTGAACCAACTACATTCGTCAGATGCATGACAAAATCGCGAAAACACTTCACCAAAAGCTGAAGCTGGAACACGTTTATGGTTCGGGTCACCAAAACACCCCCAGTGATACCAAGCGCAGTAAAATATCCTCCAGTATTGGTGTAATGGCTTGGACTCTTTTTTTTTCCCCTTGAGACTGTTTACCTGACTCCTG